TTCTTTCCCATTCTGACATTCAGTTTGGAGTTCAGGAGATTGTCTTGACCAGGACCACACCCCTAAATGCATTGAAGCAACTGCCATGTGATACAGTTTATATTATACAGTTTTAGAAATTGTTTTCTATTGTTTCTATTGTCTATATTGTTATTTTTTGCTGATCCTATGGATCCTGTTATACTTTCTTTTTTAACTGTCTTTTTCATTATTGCTGCTGTTTCTAAAAGAATGTCCCCATTGTGGGATTAATAAAGTCAATCTAATCTAATCTAATGGCACATTGAAAACCATTACCAAGGGTAATTAAACCTAGTTTTTATTCAAGTAAAAGAGATTATAGTGCATACAAAAAGTACTCTAAAAAATTACAAAGGTTAAAATTTCAACATACATTGAAATACACTGTTCATTGATGCAAATTAAATTTCTTCCAATTGGCAATATCAATTCCAAAATCACAAAAGCCATAATGCATACTTACATACACACCATAGCACTGTTTGGAGTAAAAACTAAAAAAAACAACAGTCAAGAGTTCATATATTTCCCACAAGGTTCTCTGCTGCCTTCTTTCCACTGAAGATGACATCATTGACTGAGACACCATCGTAGGAAGCCCCTGCCACAGTTAGTGGCAGACCATGGTGACTGATGTAATTCCTTATTCTTTCTGTGGAACAAATAAATGAATATATAAAGACATGAAAATGGTACACACCAATAAAACTAAAAAGTAGCTACATTTAGAATCCAAACTTGGTTCTTACCAAGACGGTTCCAGTGTCCTAGATTGTACTGTGGAATGCAGGCCTAAAATGGGGGGGAAAAAACATATTTTTCCCCCATTAAAACCCATAAATATTTATGACTGCACATCTAATTTTCTGACAGAATTAGTATTGTCACGATACCAAAATGATCACCTTGACACCAATACCGCAATGATAATGCAGAAAAAACAGTTAAGTATTGTTCATGGTAAATTATGCATTTGTCACTGAATCATATCACTGAAACTGAAACACTCTTGAAATCAGAAACACTTTGAATGATCGAGGAGCATTAAGCACTATGCATAGAAATCACAAGATCCTAATTACAAGACTGAAATATTAAAAAGATAAGACAAAGCCAACCATACAGGAGAGCACTGGGGTCTATGGGGGGTTAGGGGGATGAATATGGACTTTGAGAGGGGACTGCACTGACAAATGGGGGGGGGGCAGACCTGAGTATGCAAAACGCATTTCTTCCAAAATCGAACTCATCACCATTACTCTCCACTGTATATAAGAAAAGCTAACATAATAAGAACTATACAAACGAGAGGAGGCCATTCGGCCCATCGAGCTCGCTTGGGGAGAACTTAACTAATAGCTCAGAGTTGTTAAAATCTTATCT